TTTTTGTTGGTTGTGTGTTATTTATTTGGGAGGTGTACATTGTCATGGTGGCGGTGGTTTGTTACGATTTTTGTGGTGCTTGTCGATGATGGTGATGATGTGGCACGATAGTGTATATTTATTGGTACTGGTGGTAACTTAAGGTTTGGAGGTGGTGGTTTATGGAAGAAGTGACGATTGTCTATGGCACAAATTGTGGTGGCGGTGGTGTCAGGGAGAGGGCAGTCATAGGTATGCGTCCCACTATTTGGTGTTGTGACCAATTATTTGGTTATCGATAATTAGTTTTCAATTGTGACCTAAAAATTTTGGTATTTGTGGTAGTAGCAGTGTCAGTGTCAGGGTGAGGGCGATCACAAGTGGGCATAGTGGCAGTGGCGGTGGTACGTGTCCCACTATTTGGTGTTGTGATAAATTATTTGGTTATTGGTTACCAGTATTCAAGTGTGACCTATAAATTTTGGTATCATGGTTGGGATGTTTGGTGTATGTGAACGACTATTTGGTTTTTTGTAAGTAACTACTAAATTGTGATATTAAAATTCGATAATTTGTTACCAATATATTTGAAAATATGTAAAATGCAACTTATAATTTTTTTTTTGTGACCAATGAAATAAATTGTGATTTATAATTTTGATGTGTGATCTCGACATAATCTATGATTAATTAATTTGATAATATGTGACAATAAATAAGTTGTAATATATAATTATATACTTGTGACCATTAATCATATAATTGTGACCTTGTTATATTTAATGCTTGTTTGACAGAGATTTTGATAATTGATTTGTTGACCGTTAGAGATAAAATGAGTCCTACTTGTAAGAGAAGAATTCAAAAATGAAGGTTGAAATAGTTAAATAACAGTAAAAAAATTAATTTTAATTGATTTTGAAGCTGTACTAAACAAGCTCTTAATTAATTCGATTTTGCTAGCAATACGTCAGGGTGTACCTAATGGTGTACATCTCACTCGCATAGACGAGGGGCCTACTAAAATAAAATATCATTTATTTCTCTCACATGGGTCTCACACCTCATATGAGTGAGATGTACACTATTCGATACACTCTATTATGTACCACTGGACAAATTCTAATTAATTAGTTAATACCTTCCATTTTGAAATCATATTGACACTAGTGAATTTTTCCCCATTTCTTTTCCTATGTCCCATCTCTACGAGTATATACCCTCGAAAGCGTGGCTCCCACACGACACCGCGTGCCCCTAAATAAACCCCATTTCTGAGGTGCCCATAAGCAAATTGCCTCAGCAAAATCTCCGCGGCCCTAGCACGCAGAAAAATGCAGTCACTGCAGGAGAAGGCGTCGGAGTGGAGTGGGGTGAATCCAAATGATGCTTTTGCCATTGATGAAATCAACCTCTACCAGAAATTAGGCCTTCAGACCTTCATAAATCTTTCCACTAATTTCTACAACAGGTTTTTCCCCCTTTTTCTTCACAGAAGTTTTTTTTGGTCTGTTCTTTTCCCGTTAAATATTTCAGTAGGGTGTTGAAATTCGCCATTTGAATTCTGCTTCAAAATAGGTATCCTTTCGCTTTTTTATATGGGATATTGAAGTGCGGAATTTAAATTTCATTTTACTTCTCAGTTTTGTGCAAGTTATGGGACTTAGATGGTTTATATCGAACTTGAGTTCCCTAACTTTAATTGCTTGCTTCGAGAAGATCTATAAAACGTTTCGAGATGGGAAATCTTTATTTATAAATTTGCGATTTTTATTTAGATAACGATCTGAATGACTATTGAGTCTTTTTTTCCCCCTTTGATTTTTAGTTGAAAGAAATCATTTTTGGGTTAAATAATTTCGATAGCTAATTTTTTCCTAGATTTATCATAACCCTAATGGAGTCTTAAACTCTTGATATATTTTGATGTTAAGAGCTATTTAATTTGAATTTTTTTGGGTCATATTAAGCTTTTGTTAAAGCATTCTCATTTACAGATACAGTTCATGAGAAATTGAATATTTTTAGTTAGTTGTAATACTCTGTTATGTAAAGTTTTTTTAAGCGAAATCTGGCTGTAGGCCACTGATTCAAGAGTTTCTTCTTCGACGTGGATGAGAATTTTTTTTTCTTGATTTGGAAAATAGAGTTTATGATGATGAGGAAGAGTGGTTTCGATCAATTTTTGCAAATTCCAAAAAGGAAGATGCCATTCAAAATCAATATGAGTTCTTCGTGCAACGAATGGGCGGGCCTCCTCTGTATTCCCAAAGAAGAGGTATCTTGAAATTTGTTTACTTGATGATTGCATATTTTCCTTTAATAGTTTTGAATCTTGATCAATGTCTTATATATCTAGACATTTATACATGGTTTGCTTTTTTATTTTCGTATTTGATTACTGTATTTAGTTGTTCATCCACGTTATTATTCATTTTCTATGACAATCTTTAAATTTACTTTTTATACTCTCTTTGGTGAATAGAAAAATTACATAATCTTCTGAACTTCTATGTGAATTTGATGGAAATTAGAATTTTCATTTCCACATGACTGTTTTCTTTCTTTTAGCATGTACAGTGAGTTTCCTATCAAATTATTAAGAATATCTTGGATTGAGAATAAAGCAAAAAATTTCCTTGTTTACACTTCTCTTGTTAAAGAGCAAAGCGTAATGAAATTAAGATCTTATAAGGATTCCTATTACTTACCTAGGTTTTTAAGTTCTTCGATAACAAACTTGAATCCAATATTAGGACCAATTAAAAAGTTCCTAGATTTCTTCGTTTTTTGGTTTTCCACATTTACTCATTGCCAAAGATGAAATATTTGCACTCGCAACTCTTGGAGTTAAAGATAATGTTAATCTTTAATGTTAAAAAATGCTAATATAGGCACAGATGGTTAGGATATAGAAGAATGGCTGCCTGCTTTTGATGAATGCAAAATCAATTACCAAAATTACATTTTGAATTTTGATGAGATCTTTTTCTACTTCATATCAACGAAAAATATGAGCTAATGGATAATAAATGACATGTAAATAATGGGAATATTTTGGTATCTATTTGTTAATTTTTGTTAAGTTTATCTTGATTTTAATGACATTTACAGTATCTTTAATTTTCATTTTGAAATTCATTTGGTAGGAGTACTCAAGGGAATTTGGTTATCTCCATTTTGCTTATTGCTCCGTGTTTTACTTATATCCTCCTTTTCCTGGGATCTCATCTCAAATCCTATCTTTTTTGTTTATTTTAGGTTAAGGAGGAAAACGGACATTTCGAGTATGAGAATATACTAATATTAATACCTTTATTTTCTTATCTTAAATTTCACGCTTATTTAGACCAGTTAAGCCTTCATTTGGCAAAATTTATAAATCATTGATTTACAAGTATTATCCATTTATTCACCACTCTTTTTCATCTATCTATAAATTAACCCGTTCATAAATTCTTTCCAAACGGAGGCTTATCATAAAATTCATGTTTGCATACTTAATTTATATAAATCTTTCAAAAATGAGAATTTTCTTGTAATTTCTTAATGGAGTTAATGTACAAAACGTCCTTATGTTTGACACTTATTGCGGAAAAAATTCCTACGTTTCCTTTTTTTGCATTTTCGTCCTTATTTCAACGTTTTATTGCAGAAAACGTCCTTTTCTCCACTTTTGAATGTAAAATGACCAAAATACCCTCCTATTTAAATAAAACCAAAAAAAATGAAAAGAAAAATAAAGAATAAATTGCAGTCTTACTCCTAAATGTTTCAAAAATTGCAAGTGAGTCAAAATAATTATTAAAAGGTTTAATAGCACAAAACGTCCCTACGTTTGGCCTATAGTTTGCAAAATGTCCCTACGTTTCAAATTGGTGAAAAATGACGTTTTTCACAATGAAACGTAAAAATAGGGATGAAAACGCAAAAAAAAAAATTGAAACGTAGAATAAGGCTTAATATTTTAAATCAAACGCATTTTCTCTCTCCTCTTCTTCTCCAAGTGGGACTACCACCTTAGAAGTGAAAAACTTCGACCAACCATCACTCAAATTGCCAAACCTCCATACTGACGAACCATCTGTTGATGTTTTAAGACCATGAAGGGAGCCGCTTTGGTGAGTATAGTCAATTGGTGTATTGAAAATGACATGGATATCTCTGGAACAGGTGGTGCCGTCGGAGTTTAAGCGGTGGTATTTTGGAAATGATATGGAGGATCTGCGATTTGGTAATGGTTTCAATTTTAATAAGGGCTAATAATACAAAACGTTGCTACGTTTGACACTTCTTGCGGAAAACGTCCATAGGTTTCAATTTTTTTTTTTTTTTTACATTTTCATCTCTTTTTTCATGTTTCATTGCAAAACGTCATTTTTCACCAATTTGAAATGTAGGGACGTTTTGCACACTATAGGACAAACATAGGGATGTTTTGTGCTATTATGCATTTTAATAAATATTTGGACTCAATTGCAATTTTTAGAACATTTAGGAGTAAGACTGCAATTTATTTTTTATTTTTCTTTTCTTTTTTTTTTGTTTTATTTAAATATGAGGGTATTTTGGTCATTTTACATTTAAAAATGGTGAAAATGACTTTATTGCAATGAAACGTTGAAATAAGGACGAAAATGCAAAAAAATGAAACGTAGGGACGTTTTCCGCAATAAGTGTCAAATGTAGAGATGTTTTGTGCTATTAACCCTTTCTTAATGCATGAGGTTATGTTTTGCATATCTACTGTGAAACTACATTTTTCATATATAAATTATTTTCGAGCTAAAGCTTCAGTTCCCTGATTTTCTATAGGACATCCTGCATTGATAGCACGCCATCGTCCATTCCCCGTCACTCGTCAAGCTGCAGAGAGGTGGTTGCACCACATGCAAAAAGCATTGGACAGCACTACAGATATCGACTCAGACTCCAAAGTTAAAATGACGAACTTTTTTAGGTACATTTTTATTTAAAGTAATGCTATTTGTCATCATAATGATGAAAGTGATAGGTTCAATAGCATGGATTCTATGTTTCTGTATTTAATTGGACGTATCATGCCTCATATTGTGATGATCATTCCATCATGATGGTGAAACATAACGTAATGTTTTATTTATTGAGTGAAGCTACAGAGCCCGGGATTAAATACCGGGCTCCGTTCTAGGGCTGAGATGGTGCATGCCTCGGCCCTTGATCTTTAATACAAGGGGCCTGCGCCCCTTTACATCAGGGGCTGAGGTGGCCCCTGGATCGGAGCCTGGGGCTGCAGCATTTTTCTTATTTATTTGTTTCATTTGAATTTAGAACGTATTATGCAGTAGATTATGTTGATTTGAGTTTCCTTTTTAACTGCTTAGGCACACTGCGTTCTTTCTAGTTGCGGGAGATGAGTTGAAGAACCAAAAACAGAGCATTGCATGTAAGCATGCAACCAGCAAACCGGCTGCAGTGTAAAGTCCTAACACAATTAGCTCATTTGATTCATGGAGCAAATAACAATAATTGGTAATGAACTTATTGATGCTGTCTGTGTAGAAGGGAAGTGTCCAAAAATTTCTAGGCATTTTAGTAATGAGAATAATTTGAAATGAATTCAAAGTTCCCTCTTATTTATCTATCAATATATTTGTATTGTTATGTAGTTTCTTTATCGTTCATACCCATTCTGTAATACTCATTTTCCTCAAACTCATTTTAAACCACAAATTATTTCATCAAAATAATTTTACACGTAAACTCAATTTTACTCACTTTTAAACTGCATCTAAAAAATCACTATTGCAAAATCTATCATAAAAAAAAATGAGGTTCAAACAAAATTTTATCTTCAATTGTAACAAATTTTGTTCTTTTAATTGATAATTTCAATAAGAAAACAAAGTCAAACAAATGTCAAAGATAGAAAATTTCAAAATGTTTTAGGTGAAAATTTATATCAATAAAACACATTAATTGACAATTTTCAAAAAAATAAGTTTTAGGCAATTATAATATTTTGTTGTTACTACTTAGTAGATGTATGTTTCAATTAAATAGTGACACGAATATCAAATACTTCATACTCCATTTTTTTTTTTTTTTCAATTTTGGAGATCATCTTATGTTTAAATAGTCATTTGAAGATGCTCTTGTTCCTAAATGCTAGACTTGACTAAATGAAGAATAATGCTACGTAACACATATGGTTCTAAATGTGGAAATGTGACACATACAATATACATGTTTAAATTTTCTTACAATTTAAGTTGATCAAACTATAATTTTAGTTTATGCATTTCGTAAGACTAAAAACTACCAATCATTTGTCCACAACTCGTTTTTATCACTTAATGCCACATGTGGTTTACCACTGCCTTATGTCGACCAAAATTTTACCTTTTTTTCAATTTCTCGAGGTGTTAAATTCTCATAATGAATTGAATTTAACATCAAATAAGGCCCATATAGGCTGAGAAATTTAGGGATTTCATCTTAGAAAATAGATCAAAAGACACTGACTCGGATGTCCTAGAGAACAAACATATATCGCGTCTCAGCTTATTAACCGCATCCAAACCATGCATAGTTGTATGTATCAAATATGCTCAAAGTAATCATGCCAAGCAAACCAGAAGATATGAAGAATGGAATAGCAATTGTACATATATCATTGTTATCACATCGCGAGCTGAATATTTAATTATTGATTATTCAATTTCAAGAAAATACTTTCTCAAACTGCAAATCTGACTTTCCAGAGATTTCACCAACACAATTCAAGAGTTCAATACCGACACTCTCATTTAATTGAGGCTCGTATTTATGTCCGATAGTACACAAAATTTGAAAAATTACCCTTCATTTCTCTTCCTTGATCTTCAGTCCTTTCCCAGTGATTATGATTCTCATATTATGTAATAAGGAGCAACACCGTCCAATTGTTTAGCAATCACATGAAGTCTTCTTCAAGTTCTTGCAGGGACTTTTTAGTTGATGCTATATCCTTGTTAGATGTCATCTTCTCAGCTACCATCAAATTTTTGTAGCTTCTTAATTCAGCTTGTTTCTCCTTTTCGAGCCTTTCCAACTCTTCTTTCCGTTTCTGTTAAAAAAGAAATCATGTGACGTAAAAAATGGATAGCAAGAGTAATCTTGATTGACTAAGCCAAACAAACTAAAATATTTTGCTGAAGTTCTTGTCATGGTAAAATATCAGGATAAACTATAAAGTAGATGGTTGCTAGGCTCCCGAGCTCTTCGTGTTCCATGGAACCTGCCCCTTAAAGTTCTGATATGTTTGGTTGTATAGATACCCCCCACATTTTCTTTATTCTATCCAATAAATATGCAAATATACTCATTTTCCAACAAGTTCTCAAAATTCTAACTTTCTTTAATAAGATACCTCAAAACAATTTAACTAAGAGGCACATGGACACCCCATCACATTATAAACATACTATCAGAATCTTCTACGCATTCTTTTTTTTCCAGTCAAGATTACTAACCTTCAAAATTCAGTTATCTACCTTGCATTATATCTTTTTTCACTAGGCCTCTTCAACAGATTAAAAACCTCACCCCTACCACATCCCACCACAATCCACAGTAAAAAGTGAGAAAATGCTAGGTATAACCCCCTGCTTTAACCATTATATGCTTGATAATTGCATTTAAGAATGTGCAGCTGTAAAAGTGGAATGGCAGAGAGATTAATATAAAAACAAAGACCACAATGGTCCAACAAAGGTAGGATTGGATGCTATAATTAGATAAACAATAAGAGTTTGAGATAACTTTCAAAAACTTGAAATTCAGCTGAGCTTGATGTCTCCCACAGTTAAGCGTACTAAAAATTCAGCAAGTCAAGATATTGACACTTGGTAACAGTTAAACATGAAGTGTGCATTTAATTGTGAATCAGGTGGAGAAAACATTGCCATAATTCAATGAGTAAATCAAGTAGAGACAAAAATTTGGCGAAACTCAACAATCTATGGCTCATCCATTGACCTGTTCATTTTTTGATTGAGTTGAGTTCAATTGGTCTCACTTGTACAAGCTTTTCCATTTGGAAAAGTTTCTGTTTTCTTCTGTAAGTCCAGCCCAGAAATAAATTGAAATGAATGAAAGCTTTTATTTAACGTCAATATATATCAGGTTGACGATACCTGCTAATTGACCTTAATAATCAAAGCATGCTGCTAATATTAATAAATGTGCATTTCTCATTCACCACTGGGGTTAAATGCTAAAATAGCCCAATGGGCTCATCTTCAGATTCCAGGATGGCTTCTTATAAATAGAAGTGCTGTTTTATTGTGATTTCTGGGGTCTAAAATGCTCGAGTCTCTTTCCTCAATTAAAACTTCCATTTTTATTAGTTTGCTTACACTAACATTTCACAACCGAGATATTTATATCTTTCTCCACGATCTGTATTACCCTCGGGCCAAGAGAAATTTCTATAGCATTTTTTTACCAGACATCAAATTGACGAACTCAAAGCCACATACCTAGCAAATTTTCGCGCACTAATATATTTTAAAGAAGTAACTAGTTGACGATCACTTACATTTTCATGATGAAAGCACACAGGAAAAGGATACGAAAATCAAATGTTTGTACCTTACACAGCTAAAGTTAAATGAGAATTAAAGTACTCACCTTCTCTCTGATATGCTGTTTCTTCTCTGCTCTTTCAGCCGCATTGACTGCCTCTCGTTCAGCTGAACATATAAAACACATGAATCAAGGGACGCAATGCTAAAGACAATCAGGAAAGTCTGCCACTTAAATGATGCGTTGACTTAAAAAGTGGGATAAAGGAAAGAAAAATGGGGGGGGGGGGTTGATAGCATTAATACGGGAATGACAAATGCACCTTTCAGATCAGGTGTCCTTTCCACCTTTGTCCTGTTTAGCCGGTTAACTATCTCATTTATTCGCTTTTCCACCCTCACCGTTCGAACCTAAACAAACGAACACATAAATTAACTTTCACAAAGTATCCTGCAAAGCACATAAGACACTGCTTATACAGCCACGAGAAATGCATCACAAGCTGACCATTTTTGAGTTGTGGAAACCAACTTGCCCAACATCCATCGAAGCAGTTTTCTTAAGATTCTGCCAGGGGGTATAAACAATGTCAACATTGTTTACTTTGTTTCCTGAGAAGTAACAAAATCAGACTTTTAACTGTTGTGTGAGTATCATAAACAAAACAGACACATGCGATCGAAGGAGCAATCAGTCAGATGTTTCAGTAAGGGCAGCCTAAAAATACTGAAATCAATTACAATCTTTTTTGTTTTGTTTAAGATAAATCAAATAAAATCTTAAACATGCAATTCAGTTAAGTAACAGTCACCACCTTATGCAAATCATAAATATTGTTTCTGCGACAGTGTAATAACAAGACATGTATGAAGCACTTGCCTTGAATAGAATTTGCTTTAACTAGTTGGGCACAATCTTCCAATACACCTTCTGATATATCATCAATGGTTTGACCCTTGTGCAATCTCAGATAAACATGGGCAGAAGACATTTTATCCACATGGAACCTGCACAAAACAATGGCTTTCAAGAAAGCTCTCAAAGTTAATTAACAGAAACAACATAATAAGTGTCCATCTGGTGAAGGATTTGAAACCAGTGGATTTCAAAACCGTTGCACAAATCCTTTCTACTTGTTTAGATACCAACTTGGACTGGATTCGGGATTCAAGCGCCATCCTTAAAATCTATGGATTTGATAATTAGTAGATTTCCACTCCATTCCATATTTCTGTCATCTGAAATCTCACCATCTGTCCAAACTCCTGTACCCTCTTTACAGATTTATTATTAATGCGAGCTTGCACATGGGCACATGCTCAAGACTCTAATGGCCTTCTATTGTTAAATGATGTAGTGCTGGAGGCTAGGATTCATCGGTCTTCCATCTGCAATCTTATCTTATGAGCAAAGATTTAACACCAGATGTGCAAGATCACTCAACTGCATATGCCTCTTGGCTATAAATAAGGCGTTTCATATATGGATTTGACTGGTAAACTGGAGTCATAGTTGCAATTTTTACTAGTTTGAAACTTTTCTGCAACCTAACAAACACTATAAAGCACAGGCAACAAATTATTACTACTGTCTGTCAGCTAACTTCTTTTTTTGTGATTTATCCAGACAGAGTATAAAGCTACAACAACCGAACTTTGGAAAAATGTACAATTAACATAAGAAATCTCTCCAGAAAACATATTAAGAAACAAAGGTCAACCAAATTGGCGAAAAAGAGACCATATTTCTTTCCTTTCTCTTCCATAAATTGATTAAATTATCATATTCCAAAAAAAATAAAAAATAAAAATAAATAAATCAAGATCTCGATATCACATAGCATATAAAATCGAAATATCAAAAATCAAAAACGAAAGTACCAAATGTCTTCGGGGAAACCATATTTGATAAGCTCTTCGTTCTCGTACTTGTCAAGGCCCATAAATATCGTGTAGTCGCCGGCTTCCGGTCGAGCCTTGAAGTAGAAAACCATCTCTTCAATTTCTCTCTAGGGTTTCGAAAACTTTCCCCAAAATTTCCAATTGAGAATTGACAAGTACCCTTTTGGCCGAGTTTTATGACTTGGGGCCTAAACTTGTGAATTTCGTTTTTCACTAAAGAAATTGTAGTATATTACATTTATGGCCCAAAAGTAGAAAATATGAATAATGTTTCACGTCAAAACGTGAGGGTAGTTATAACTTTTAATTTCTAAGACAATTGAACTGCTTTTTGTTATGAATAATTCACATAAACCATAAAGGTGTTGCTTTTATGGTGCATTTTGTCGGGTATTCTTCCGTAAAAATTCTGTCAAATTCTTTTTTGTACTTGTAGCATAATTGTTTTCTAATTAGTTAACGGTGTTAAATGAATTTAATGAACTTGAAGGCCTTGTTTGGCACCAATTCATTCAATTTTTTTATATACTTATTTTCAACTATACATTCACATAATAAAATATTAAACATTAAATAATTTTTTTTTCTATTTTTAACCATACATTCTCCAAAAAAATCAGTATTTAAGACCATGTTTTTCCCAAAAAAAAAAAAAAAAAAAATTGCTCTCCAAACAGGGGCAAAGTTACAGCAAATATTGTTAGAATATCTGAATGCATAAAATAAATCTTCACACGGGTGTGGACAAATCGAATGAAATCATGAATTCCAATTAATTATTTGGCATGAGATTCATACGACGGTGGAATCCCAAGGTTGGAGTATCTATGACAAAAGAGAGCCTAGCGATGTAGCTCTTAATGAAGTGCATTAGAAGGAAGAGATTGTCGTTTGAGAATTAAAGTTCTTGATCAAAGCTTTTCTAGAGGAGAAATTCTTCAAAGTATGAGAATTAAAGTTTTTGATCAACTGAATAATAGGTCGATCTTGAGTTGAACTACTCGACCTGATAATTTAGTTTTAGGATAGACTTCAAATTATTACGATATAATATTCTTGTACTATATATTATTACAAAATTTTAGCTTTTACTAATTTTTGATGTTGTCGAGCTCTCTCCAATTGACTTCACCAATGACGTTACAATTGCTTAACTTTTATGCGAATATATATAATGCAAATAGCAAAAGAAAATCCCAAAAAGCCAAAAACACAAAGAAATTGGACCGACCATGAGAGGGTGAATCCCCTGTGGGCCAAGCAAAGGCGCATGCCTTACCGAGCATCTTTTAATGATTATGAATGTATTATTTTTATGGAATAACCATTTTACATGGCATCTTCTTTTAAATGGTGGATATTGTGGTCCACCAAATCTTTCACTTGTGTTATGAAATACAAATACACACCTTTATTTACAACGAGAGCCGATGGACGACCGTCGCCTGCTGACTGGATCATGGTTGACATCGATGAGATCCGTTGATGATTGTTAGCTTTCAAGGATTTTTGTCTATAACATACGAGCTGAAAAACTAATTAGAATGAAACAAATAAATAAACATATTTATACTTGAGTTAAATTCACTAATTGTCACTGAAGTACCTCTGAAATTTCAGAATGATTATTAAAGTTTTTTTTTTTTTTTTTTTTTTTTTTTTGGGGTTGTGGTGTATATGTTTACCCAAAAGGGCAAAGGGCACAAATAAGAAAACTCTAATAGCCACTAAAGCTAATAATAGTTTCACCGACGATCACTGGATTTCACCATTTACCAATCATTTTTAGAGAAAATTGCAAGTAGGGTCTCTAGCTCATCGAAGGTCATTGCAAACTAAATTTTACTAAATTAAAATGGAGTGTTCATTGCACAAGTCCAATTTTAATTTTGTAAAGGGTAAACAAGTCAATACGTAATCTTAATTAAAATAGGTAAGGTTGATATGAAAAACACCAAAAAAAAAAAAAATCATCGTCTTCTCCAATATCCATCAAGGGCCTATAAAACCTCAAATTGTATGACAAAACTACATAGAATTTTTTTTTTTTTTTTAACAAGGTGTGCCAGCTTGCGCCAGACTATATATCCTCGTCCCTGAACCTCCGACCCCTCAGCTGCTCAGGAAGGTAAATCACAGGATGTGCCCTTATTGGTTCCCAGATTCTCACATGGCTTTTACTCCTTCCCCAAAGGAAGCCTCCTCCATGGTGATTAATCCACCAATAATTCCTCCTTTATTGGATCAAAGGTTCCCAGATTGACCATTGATGGTGAGATTTGGGAGACTTACTTTTTTTTTTTTTTGTTCTCAATTATAAATAAAAAGTTGAGGAAGTCAGTGTCAAGATTTAAATGCTAAGAAGATATTTTCCACTTTTCGCAAATGTTAAGAACTTCTGTTATTTTTGCCTTACTTTTACTAACCAAGTGACCATTATTAACTTTAGCGACTATATGGACAAGAATAAAAAATGGGTAATTGGAACAAAATGTTCTACCTTTCAATGTTATTATGCAAAATATCCTTACTTTTTATTTTTTGACACGTTTACTCTTACATTCACCTTTTATTGCGAAAATCATCATTTTCATCAAATTTCTTGTATAAAATGACAAACATACTTCCTATTTAAATAAAACAATAAAAAAAGAAAAGTTAAAGAATAAATTGTAATCATACTCTCGAACATTTTTAAAAAGTGCAAATGATTTCAAATAAATTATTTAAAGGGTAATTAGTATAAAACGTCCATATCTTTCATTATTATTGTATAAAATGTTTATTCTTTTCATTTTTTGACATTTTCACCTTTGTTTCATATTTTATTGTAAAAATCATTATTTTCATCAATTTTCTCAATTAAAAACTGTAAAATGACAAATATACCTTCATTTTTAAATTAAAGAAATAAATAAAATAAAAATGAAGAACAAATTGAGACTATACTCCCAAAATTTCCAAAAAAAATATATAAATAAATTCCAAATAAATAATTAAAAAATTTGTACCTTTTTAAAAATTTTGAAAATATAGTTGCAATTTGTTTTTATTTTTATTGTTTTGTTTTTGTTTATTTAAAGATAGGTTTATATTTGTTATTTTATAGCTTTTAATTTAGAAAATTGATGAAAATAACGATTTTCACAATGAAACATGAAATAAGGGTGAAAATATCAAAAAATGAATGATAGAGACGTTTTGCACAATAATAATGAAAGGTATGGACGTTTTGTACTAATTACCATTTTAATAATTTATTTGAACTCGTTCTCACTTTTAAAAAAAGTTTAGGAGTAGGATTGCAATTTATTCTTTATCTTTTATTTTATTTTTTTTATTGTTTTACTTAAACAGGATGTATATTTGTCATTTAAAAGAGAAATTTGATGAAAATGATAATTTTCGCAATAAAATGTGAAGGTAGGGATAAAAGTGTCAAATAATGAAAGGTAGTGACGTTTTACATGATAATATTGAAAGGTAAAGACGTTTTGTACTAATTACTCAATAAAAAAATATTATTCTAAAACATTAGTGAAATTAGCCCATTTCCACTCTCAATATTTTAAACTTTTAGATAACATATTTTAAGATTGTCTGACAAAGCTATTGTAAATGAATTTTGTAATTTTTTTCCCCCTTGTTTGGTAGTAGGGCTTTTCGTGGTAGAACTTTTAATATCAAAGCTTCTATTAAGAATTTGTCATTTGCTTGTGAATTAAAATTATCATTTTTCGTTGTATAATCATAAAGTGTTTTTGTATAATCTTTATATTTATTTAATCGGGTTAGAGTTAGACTTTGTAAATAATTAATGTATATTTTGTTAATTTTAAAGCTTCATCAAATGTAAATTACTGGTTCATGTGAAAGCTGAATTAGATCTTTGTTAGAGAAGCTCTCATTTTGGGTTTCTCTAAAATAACCCTTTAAATATTTATTTATTTATTTTGGTCAACAAGTACTTTTTGATTTTAGCCAAACAACTAACATTTTAAACAAAACGGCTTTTGACCTCCGGAAAGTACTTTTAGGCTTTGAAAATGCCCTTCCAATGCATCGTTAATATGTTACACCAATGTTTATTCATGAAGCCCCCGTTTGGTTTTGATTTCTCAAGTCAAAAAATTAATTTTTTGACTTTTACTTGCCATAATCAGCTGTAATTTTTTACCTCTCCACTCACAAGTGGAACCACATATCAAGCTAAAGATTAAAAAATCAATTATCATAATCAGCACCATACAAGCCAGAAAATTGTGCACTTATCTTGCATTTGTTATGAAATGAATTGGTCTACACTTGGAGGAGCATATTGAAAATTTATTAAGGGTCCATTTGATTGAAACGATGAAATTTGGGTGGAAAAAAAATAATTTTAGAGAATTGAATTATCTAAAAATTGTTTTTCTGGGAATTGTCAATTAACGTGTTTGATTGGTATAATTTTTCACTTAAAAAATGTTGAAATTTTGGATCTTTTGGTGTTCGTTTGACTTTGTTTTTCATGAAAATTTTCAATTAAAGAGATAGATTTTTTTTTACAATTGTTAATAAAATTTGTTCCCATTTCTGACAATTAAAAAAAAAAGTTGGAAAACCAATTCTCAACGTTTTAATGAGAATTGATTTTCCACAAATTCATGAAAAATGCACATGTGTGAGGAAAAGATGGAAAATGAATTCCATGAAAAACTTTTGCTATCAAACAACACAAAAGTTGGAATTTTCCATGGAAAATATCCCCGGGGCCTAAATATAAATTAATAAATGTGTCACTTCTGCAAGGTAATTCATTATTAATTGTGATATTTTCGATGACAATGGTAATGGACAGTGATTGAACAAAAATAAATTTAAACTAAAAGTTTGATATTACAATGCTATACACACAATTTTTGTTTGGCTGTACTAAAAAATGTTGTTCATAATTTTTTATGACAAGCTGTTCTTCTCAGCTTATTTTAAAAGTTGACCTAAATAATTAACTTAAATTATTGTCTGCATAATTGACTCCAGCCATTTTTATTATCTGTAGCATATTTTAAAAGTCCACCTAATGTCCTTCTTGTCGTTGTATCATCCTTTCCCTCGTTTAGGAGAAAGGGTGCGGAGAGAAAAGTGAAGAAAGGTATTATTGAGAAGAGGTGTACGTCACAATCTTCTAATTTTAAATTTGATTA